GTTCTGACCTAGTGGCCCCCAGCTCTATCAACCACATTTGGTTGTCAACAGCACATGTCCTAAACAAGTACAAGCTTGTTTTGGAACAGAACACCTCCCAGGCTGTGTGGATATAAACTGGACTAACAAGTCTACACCTAATACTCAATATACTCTAAAGTATCCCCAGCAGGAAGGGCTCCGTACTGCAGCACAACAGGCAGGACACACAAATCTTGCCAAGTATCCACAAAATCAAGGAAATCATTCTTACTTTTTTTTTTTGCTGTACTATGGTTTGATCTCAGGGCTTATACCTTGAGCCACTCTGCTAGCTCCACACCCCCCCCTTTTTGTGTGTGGTGGGTGTTTTCCAGATAGGGTCTTGAGAACTATTTGCCTGAGCTGGCTTGGAACCATGATCTTCCTGATCTCTGCCTCCTGAGTAGCTAGGATTTCAGACGTGAGCCATCAGCACCCAGCTCATTCTTACATTTTAAGACTCCATGGATATGAGGATGACCTGGCTGTGACATGTCACCCCATTGATCGCTAGGGTTGATTTGGCTGATTTGGCTGGCTAGATGGGTATCCCCTTCCTCCCTCAGGGCTCCATGTGAGTGAGTCCTTCCCGAAGCTGCACACTTGGTCGAAGAGGACGACCATCCCTGGTAAAGGAGGACCATTTCTTCCCTCAAGGGTATAGGAGTAGCTGTGCTTCCCTGCTAGGACCTCCAAACAAGCTCTCAAGACTCCAAAAATCCATGTTGTAGTAAGCACCTTTGCCTTAGAGAAGTATAATTCCTCTAGTTTTGAACCACCTTCAATCTCTGAAGGCGTTTTTTTGCAGTACTGGGGTTTGAACTCCAGGCCTATACCTTAAGCCACTCCACCAACCCTTTTTTGTGATGGTTTTTTTCGAGATAGGGGCACACGAACTATTTGTCTAGGCTGGCTTCGAACTATGTTCCTCCTGATCTCTGCCTCCTGAGTAGCTGGGATTACAGGCGTGAGCCACTCACATATGAAGGCCTTTCTTAAGGAAATTAAGGAAATGGATTCTGAACTAACAAAAGATGAACTGGCCCCAGATTTATTAGGGGGAAAAAAAAAAAGGAAAACAGTGTGAATGCAAAGCAAAATGTGAGTATGCAATTGTAGTGGGCACGAGAAAGGGCTGACTGTATGCTGACCACAAAGCTGGAGAAAGTGGCGCATGGGGAAGAGAACTAGAGAATCAGGAACATTTCTAGAATACTTCTGGTGGTATGCATGGGATAATTCATATAGTCAATGACCCACATTTTTGAAGTCTTATTACACAAGCATTTATTGCAAAAAAAAGTTATGAGGTATGAATAAGTATGAGATAAGAAGAACAGCCCTCATTGTCACGAGCCAGTGACAACAGGTTAACACTTAGGTGAACAGCCTTCCACGTTGTCCCACACTGTTTTCTGCCAAGTGCAGTCCAACACCCATAAAAATCAGCTCACACCTCAAACACGCTTTGGAAACCTGCATTTCCTCATTTGACATCTAGAAACCATCTCCCCATGTCAAGAAATCTTTTTGACTTTTACCTCAATCTTTTTTTCTGGTTGCTGGGGTTGATTCAGTCTTCTAGCTTGCGTGGCAGATGTTCTATTTCGAGCCACACTTCCCGTACCCCTCATTTTTAGGTGAATATAAAACTGTAGTTTGAGCTCAGGGCTTCACACTTGCAAAGCAGGCGCTGTACAGCTTCAGCCATTCCTCCAGTCCATTTTGCTCTGGCTACTTTAGAGATGGGACCATGACCCTCCTGATCTCAGTTTCCCAAGTGGCTAGGATTATAGACATGAGCCACTGGTGCCCAGCTCTACCTCAATCTTTTTAATGGCTTCAGGGACTGTTTCTTCTGGATAATGTGCCAAAATGTAACCACTTGACTATCATTAGTAAATGGTACTCCCACCTTTTGACTACTTGAAATATGAAACTTTGCACAACAAGCACCTACTTCTAGGTACTGCACTACAGTTCAGACTCTGGGTAACATCTGGATTCAAGGGAACATCTCCTATGGATGTTCCAAGGCTTCGTTGCTAGAGGGTGCTCCTATCCCAGTGTCCTGGGATCAAATAGCCAATTCAGCTGTACTCTGTATCTTATTTAGGACATCACAAAAACCACTGTAAAAAATCAGATAGTTAAGCAAAATCCTAGGACTTCTCAAAAATCTGTTTGTCATTGAGCTGAAAAATAAACTTTCCCCATTATTTATTAGTGCCACATTTGCAGGACTATTGGCCTTCAGGCTTCCGGTCTGGCAGAATTCAGGTTTGCTGTGTGTGGGGAAAGTATGAAGCAGAACCTCGTAAACAGATGAAGATCTTTTAGTCACTGAAATGAAATCTACAGTGAAGGCAAATCAGATCCAGAACAGTTTCTATGGGGTTTTTATTTTAAATTCTCCTAGTTTTAATTAAGGGTTTGAAAGATAAGTTAATTTAAATCTTTTTATTAAAGCAATTAGTGTCACTGTCTTCACTGTCTGTAATTTTAAAATATGTATCTTGAATATTTGGGGATGAGATTTCCATTTGTAAGGTTTTTTGGGTTTATTTTTATTTTTCAGTACTGAGGTTTGAACTCAGGGCCTGGTACTTGTTAGACACACTACCAGTTGAGTTACTCCACTATCTCCCATTTTTATGTTTTCATTAAAATCAATTACAACACATAATTAAACATTTCCAGATTTCTAAATAAGCTAAAGAATAGTCTTCTTTTCTCCAAATAGTTGGAAGAGATTAAAATCATGCTGAAAACAGACACCTTCGGTTTTGGAAGAGAGACATCATTCAACTGCAGTGACATCCAGAATTCAGAACACCCCCACTAGCCAGCAGGTCTTTATTCTATGGAGACCCCAAAAGACCTATGACGATCTCTGAGCAGCAAGTTCTTCATCTCAATTGCTGGGTGACACAAACCAAGGACCCACTTCAAATAAGAGCAGTTCTGGGACAGGTGCCTTGTGGGGACCTCTCCCAAGTTCAGTTTTACACTCACTGATTCTCTAAGTAGGTTGGTACTCAACATGCTCCCTGTGAAACCAGGCACATTTTACTAAGTTGTGTTCTTGGCTTCTTCCTGAAACCGCTCTGACACGTAAACTCTGTATATGGATTGGAGACAAATTTTAATGCTCTTAAAAACCCCTGTTATCACCAGTGGCTTACACCTGAAATCCTAGCTACTCAGGAGGCAGAAATCAGGAGGACTGAGGTTCAAAGACAGCCTGGGCAAACAGTTTTCAAGACCCATTCTCAAAAATACCCAACATGAAAAAGGACTGGTAGAGTGGCACAAGTGGGAGAGTGCCTGCCTAGCAAGCATGAAGCCCTGAGTTCAAACTCCAATACAGCTAAAAAACCAAAAGCAAAAAAAACAACCTTATTATCTACTATGAAATTCCAGAAAGAGTCCACCGAAGCAAGACTTCGGTGTTGAGACAGACATAAAACAATAGTATCATGATTAAATAAGTTTTTATTGTCACATTTAACTGCTTTGTCAGATATACACTGTAGATTTCAATATGGCATAAAAATAAAAATATTTTCCTGAATGTCAAAATATGAACAGAGGAGATAGCAATGGCACTTTAAAAATTAAATTCACACTGGTGCTGAAGCGCTAGTAGAGAGCAGGTAAAAGCTGGAACACATTTGCTGACACAGTGATCTGCAACATTTCAAATCAAATGGCAGTGGTATAAAGCCAACAAAACCAGGACAGCAGTTAAAACATAGACCCCACATAGTGCGTTCCCAAAGAATGGCAGTTTTAGCATCTCAAAAGTCCATATCAAGTCGTCTGATTTAGTTTTGGAGCTGGAAGCTCATGAGTAAACTTCTCTCCTATAAAATGAAACATTGTTTTGGACCAGGATTTTAACCCCCTCTAATGACTTCCTTCTTCTCACAGGTTTTAACTAGTCCAAAGGAAAGGCAGTTAAGCTCCAAGTATCAACTTCATGGGCTGACCTCATCATAAATGGGGAGTCTGACCATTTCCAAACCAGGAGCCCAACATAGTTATGAATGTCTTAGTGGTTTCACACATTCTGGGCAAAACTAGGAAACAAGCAGTAATTAAATAAAAACATAAGTGCATCCCAACAGTCTCTACACATTCTGTAATTATCCCCCAAATGGCAACTTAAAAAAAAGTAAGTATGGTTATTTGGACTTAAAATTAATCTTTATTCAAGTCTCAAACAATTTATTAAATGCCTTTTCTCCACAAAATAAAACTAAACCTAGGATTTGTCAGAAGCTCTAAGTGAGTTATATCCCTTACAATGAACTCAGCTAACTCCACTGTGTCTGGAATCTGTTCATTGTAAAACGCAGGCCCAGCATGTAACTCCCATGTAACTCCTTTCTGTTATCCACCGCTGTGTGTCCCTCCTCTAAGACTCCAGAACAGAGATCATCATGTGCTACTGTAATCCACCAAAAGAAAAGTAATTACTTTATTTTATGACATAGTTATTTGGATGATTACTTATTGGTAATTAGTATTTCTAAATTTTTTAAAGGCAACCATTTAAAATGACAATACACTCAGGCTAGTAGAAAAAAGTTGAAACAAAGCCTTCTCTTTCAGATCTTACAAAGTCATGCAAACAAGAGAAGGTATATCTGATTTGTTCCAATCAGGCTTCTTGGAATAAACAAAATTTCTCTTCTGGCAAAGATGAATTTGGCTCATCACAGAAAGAAGCTCTTTGAAGGCTGCTGCTAAGCTTGCTTCCCTTTGAAAAAGTAAATTTCAAGGCATGACAGTGCAAGAGGTAAGTTTCCATCTATCTGAGCGAGTGCGAGTGTGAGGATACGCAACGCATTGCTCGTCTCTCTGTACCTCAAACACCATGAGTGGCGCTATACAGTTCATATTGTTACATCCCTCAACTACATGACATTAGCTTCGATTGTGCTGGCCTTGCTCGTTACCAGCTCGTCACTTCCATGAACCGCACCAGAATTAGGACAATTTGATTATCTTAATGATTCTGTCATGAAACCTGTGTACTGCATCCAGAGGTGAGGACCAGGGATGGAGGCTTCTACAAGCTCTGTGCACAAGGACCCTCCTCTCAGGAGCCATGGTATCTGAGAAAGCAGTTCTCCCTCCAGATTTAGTCCTCAACAAAACTTTTTAATAAGCCAGTAAGAAAAACAGTGCCAAGTGGAGAGTTTCTTTTGCTTAGCTAAATCTGAGGAGGTCTGAATGTTCCGGGGGTCCTCATCGGGCTGTGTCACAGGTTGTGAATCCTTTGAATGTGAATATTCACGATTAGATGACTCTGTAGGGTCGACCAAATTTTCATAATCACTGTCATCTGACTCCTCACCATTGTCTCCAGCTGCTCTTTGGGAAGGAAGAAGATCTGCTCCACTTCCAGGATACTTCAGTCCAGCACTGGTGGAAGCATAATTGGAAGAGCCCACGGCTTGAGGTCGAGGCATGAAGACACTCCTTTCCACGCGAGAATGGCTCAGAGTACTTTCTTGATTGTTTGGGTGAAAATCAGAGTATGGGGGAGGAGGATCAGAAGGCTCTGCATCTGCAAGTATACTTCTACCTTCAGCTGCGAACCCAGAGTAGGGCATCCGAGGACTGAACGCTGGATCTGAGCTTTCAGATGGCATCTGTCTGCTTAACCATCGCGACCTTGCCTCAAACAATCCTGTCTTCCGACCTTCTACAGACTCGCACTCCGCACGAATCACTGGGTCGAAAACCGGAAAGAACATTCGTAACACCTTGCTTCTACATATCACTGAGCATCACACAAACGCGCCGACTCTCTGAAACACCACAAACCCTGGAGACTCAGGTGAATATACACCATTATTTTACAACTGAACATTATGTTGCCACTTACAAAATATTTCGCTATACATTAATTCATTTAGCCCCATTAACAGCTTTCTGATCACTGTTATTATTATTTCTATTACATCTGCAAAGAAACCCAGAGTTCAGAAAGACTAAGCAATTTGACTAATGTGAGGCCTGAGACACATGAACCACAAGCAGTGTACTCCATAAGCCCTGTAGTCTTATATATCGTATTCCGCCCATTCACTGTGTGGTGCGTGCGAGCCTGTGCTGCAGAGTAGAGCGTTGCCACACATCCACGAGCATGGACCTTATCTGTACCTTACATTCCCCTTCCAGTGGAGAGGTCCTCTCTTGACCACGCCCCGTTCAATCTTGCGTGCCCGACCTCCCTGGAGTCCTACTACGCTCACTACCACTTCTGAGAGAAAACTACCTCTATCGTTCCCTCAAGCTTATAACATAATAGACGTCTCGCAACGCCACCCAACTCGCGTCTCTGCCTAAGACAACCGCGTCTCGTCAGTCGTTCCCATGACACTGCCCAACTTCTGCTAAAGACGTGCCGCCCTTCAATGAGTTTAAAGTTTTTACTTTTTCAACTCAATTAACCACACTGACTTTTTACCTTGCTTTTAGGGCACCATTTGCTTTTGGGGAAGGCAGATTTTCACAAAATTAAGGGCAGGGAAACAGTAGATCACACAATGATTTAAACACAACTGATGATAATGCATCTGCATCAACTCAGCTGCGTAATCTATGCATGGGAATGAAAAATTATTTATTTTCTATTATTTTATTTACTTTTTTTTTTAACCATACTTGGGGAAAACCATGTGTAAGGACTGGAGGAGTGGCTCAAGTGGTAGAGCACCTTCTAGCAAACTCAAAGCCCTGTTCAAACCCCAGTACTGCAAAAACAACAAAAATAAATAAAAAAAAAAATGGTGGGCTTATTTTACTGTCTAGCTACCCATCACAATGCACTTATGCACCTCCTTCTTCTTAAAAGTTTAAAAGCCTGACATTACCTCTTCTCAATCTTTAGGCCAAGATCAAGTGTAAAAACCCTACGTCAGGTGGCCAGTTTTCCACTTGACCACGAATTTACCAGTTTTAGAAATGCTCTGAAACAGCTACAGTTATTAGTCTACACAGCATTAAAACACTTTTTATGGGTTGGGAGTATAGCTCAGTGGTAGAACATTTGCTTTCTTACATGTGCAAGGGCCTAGGTTCAATCCCTAGCAACACACACACACACACACACACACAAATTATATGTTGGATGTTAATCCAAATTTACTTCAATGGCCATCAAATATTCCATTATATATTTGTACTATATTTTTTTAATTTTTATTTTTTTAATTTAAATTGAGCTGGGTTCTGGTGGCTTATGCTTATAATCCTAGTAATTTAGGAAGCAGAGATCAGGAGGACCACAGTTCGAAGTCAGCCCAGGAAAATAATTCACGAGACCCTATCTCGAAAATACCTAACACAAAAAAAGGGCTGGTGGAGTGGCTCAAATGGTACAGTGCCTGCCTAGCAAACATGAGGTACAGTTCAAACCCTAGTACTAAAAAACCAAAATTATAGCTGTATATGTTTATAATATATTATAACTCATTCAACTACTCTACTATTAATGATTCAATTACCCTAAATCCCTGTCTATGTTTCCAATTTTTTTTTTTTGAGACACAGTCTTCCCACATAGTCCTGGCTATCTTGAACTTATCATCCTCCTGCCTCAGTTCCCAGAGTGCTGGGATTACAGGGGTATGCTATCACACTCAGCCATTTCTGATTATTTCTATAAAAATAAGTCAGACATCATTTTCCTGGAAATATAAATTAATATTATATTAAACAAATTGCATTTTAATTGGTATATTCTTACTAAGTTAGAAAAGCTTAGCCATAAGCTTATTTCTTTTACACTCGATATTATTTGTCATACATTTTATAAATTTTATGTAAAAATGTTAAATCTGGTGATAGAGCAATATGTCTGCTACCATGCTATAATTAGATATTCATGCCTAATTTTCATCTACCAGCTGGTTCACAGCTATCAAAAATCAGACATGTCAAGCCTTCTTCATGACCCTGACTATGAATCAAATCTGTATGTTAAAGAATTTTAGATAGCTTTTTGTGGGATTATAATGAACACAGGATATGTTCTCTATGTGTGAGGCATACCAGGACTAGCTTAGTAATGATCATCACACCACTGGATTTGCTCCAACTTCTGCTTTAGCTTTTCGATCTGTGGTCTTTTCCTTTCAGTTTTAGAGACTTAAGGGATGCTATGAAAAACAGCACATCCTCTTAAAGAGCTTAACAACAAGGTTAACTTGGGGCTTGCTGAGAGTAGAAGAACTTATGCCATTAAATGTCTAATTTGTATTTAAAATAAGACATTTTCCTGATATTAAATGGTAAAATTAGTAAAAAACTTACTTCTTTCTTGTTCCTTTTCATTTTTCCTCTGAGTGATTTGTCTTCTTAATTTGTTCACTTCTGCCTGGCAAGATTCAACAACTCGCTCACTCTTTTCTACATCTGCACACACTGCCTGAGAAAACAAAGCCACACAAGAAAGATTAGCTTCAAATCCAAGCATGAACCATTCTGTCAACTCAGTCTTGTTATAACTTTAGGAAAACTTCATATGGTTTATCAAGTTGAAACACAGACACATTAGGTAGGACAAAATCATGGAGGTCCGAAAGACCAAGAATTGTATTTTTTTGAGACAGGGTGGTGCTACGGTATGTAGCCCATGCTGGCCTCAAACTTGCGTCAATTTCCCAAGTAATTACAGATGAGTGTTAACAAGCCTTGCATAGGATTGTTCTTATTCACTGATTTGCTTTCTTAATTTTAAGATGACTGTGCAATTCAGCTTGTAAATTCTTGGAAAATAAGGATAAGATGGGAAAGATACAATCTTTTCCTTTGATTAATCATTTTTATTGAAATAAAAAGGGAATTTTGATACCAGTCTAGCTTACAAGGGCAGAATAAAAGATAAAACAGAGAGATGCTTTCAAAATTTATTATCAGTAATCAAAAACCAGCGAGGACAGATTCACTTAACTGAAAATACTTATAATGAGGGAAAACGGGGAAAGAAAATAAACTTCAAAGTCAAGGTTTAACAAAAGTAACTATTTAAAACTGCATCTGTGTAATTCAGCCATTAATAATCACTCTGAGATGCCAGTGTCTTCAGAGCTAGCCTTCTTCATAAGGAAATGTGTGACAGTTACTTTGAAGTCCTTTGGTTACTTTGGTCAGTGCTGGTAATCTGAAAAGGGCATGGGCATAAATTCAGGACAAAAAGCTGTTTTCCACTGGTCATTCCTCACATAACAGAAATACCAGAAACCTCCAGAAAGTAAGTTTAACACCAGTGAGCCTGTACAGAGTTCCTCATACTGCGAGGAGGTGCAGAGTGAGCTAATTTGGAACACAGACACTAGAAATTGCCCTTGCATGTTTTCTCACTTTGCCCCAGGTGGTACTCAGTCTGCCTTCCCATTTTTTCAGATGCTGCCTTCATTGCCCTCTCTTTTCCTTGGAGCTGTCTTCTTAAAACCAGACTTTCTCTAATCCTAGGAGTGATTCCTCAACCTTACCACTTTCCTTCTGGTCTTCAAAGGCTAGTTAAAGGCTCTTTTGCAAACTACTCCTAAAAACACATCAGGGTTAATGAAAAGAATTGGGAAAGTACTGTTAGCAGTCAGCTTAGTATCTGACTCACAGAAAATGATTCCATAAATATTTGCTGCATGAATGAGTAGGAATGAACAGGCTCCACTGCAGTCCTCCCACTCAATAGACACAGCTGAGTGCAAAGCAAGTAGACTAGAAGGAAGGAAGAAGAGCTTTCTTAAACTTCTGACGTTGTCTCTACTTAGAATATGCCTGATGGAGACAGTCGTGTTCTTAGCAACCTCCTTTAAATTCATTTTCCCAGAAAAAAGCTCTATTGCAAATGGGGTCATGAGTTGTTTTAAACAGTAGTATTAATAATGTACTTCAGAATCTACTTCTGGCACATAATGAGTAGCAACCTCCTTTAAATTCATTTTCCCAGAAAAAAGCTCTATTGCAAATGGGGTCATGAGTTGTTTTAAACAGTAGTATTAATAATGTACTTCAGAATCTACTTCTGGCACATAATGAGTAGGACAGGCTTTTGTAGGCTGACATGAGTAACTACTCTATAGATCTGATAGAATTTCAGGAAAGTACATTCCGAGTTTGGACCACTATTCATCTGCCAGCTGGAAGATGATAAAAAATTAAAAGTAAGCACAGGTGATGTGGCTCATGTGGTTGAGAGCCTGCCTAGCAAGGGCCAGGCCCTGAGTTCAAACCCCAGTACTGAAAAAAATTAAAATAAATAAAATAAAATAAAACCTAAAGTAGAGTTAAAGCATTTGAACAATATAAACAAGATGAAAACTAAAAAATAAATCAGTTTACCTGTACTTTCTCCTGAAGTGCATTATAAACCTGATAAATTGCCCTGATGTCTTTCATTACTCCATCCTTGTCAAAAAAGTCAGTACTAGAAGACAGAAAAAAGATGTCACAAAGTTATTAAAACAAACATGAACCTGGCAGGTACTTTTCCTTATCACTTCTACCACAATCTATTCATTAAATGCTATGGTTCCAAGGTGATAATGACTAAAATGCCCGTACTGCTAGAATTACAGAAGAGAAATAAAAAAGAACCCATGCTATCAAGACAATTTAAAATACAGTAAGTTACACATTTTTCAGTGATTATGTTTAACTTTTAGAAACTTAGAAATATACATACCATATCCAAACTTTTACATCAAATATAAAAAAAACTGTGGCAAATGATAAAAACAGTAAAAGTAAACTAGTTTTTCAGTAAGAACAAAATGTTGATATATGGTGACGGTGATGGTCGAGAGAATTGCCTCCCTGCATTCTTTAATATCCATCACAACAAACTTGATTTCACGTATCTCCACACACTTTTAAAATATTGACAAAAGAAATATTTATGACAAAAGAAAGGAAAAAACTCTCCTTTTACCTTTAAACTTACCCATGCTCTTTAATAACTTTGGCATAACTCTGAGAAGTATTTGGCACTGAAGACACTTTGTACTCTTGCTGGCTAGTATTGCCTAGATTGGGAATAGCAAGTGATATCCTTTGATTATACCTATGAAGAAAATGGAGACAGACATCATGTAAAAAGTACCACTTTTATACATACATACATGTGCATATGTATATATACATGCTATATATATAGCCTTGCTATGCTGCTTGGGCTGGTGTTGAACTTGTGGGCTCAGACAATCCCAGTCCTGGGATTACAGGTGCACAGCTTTTAAAATATCACTTTAAGAATGGTTCAGCAATAAGATTCTTAGTCTCTGCCATTGATAAACTAATGGAAGGTGTCATGGAGCACCTACTTCTACAGACAAACCCAGGTTGTACGAATAAGCAATGGTTTCCCTTCTTTTAAAGTAGAACTTGACTGCAAAGTCCTTGAGGGCAAAGGTAATATCTTATACATCTTTTGCATACCCACAGCAACTGACAAGGAAGAAAAAAAATCTATGGAGTAACTAATGAAATCTTGTAAATAGTTATATAACAACAATGGTTATTTAACTAAAATATTCTTTAATAACAGTTGTTTTCACTGATGTCAACTTAATTTATCCTACTGTGAATGAATTCCAGTGGGAAAGCTTTCTGCTGTGTACAGGCAGCAACACGACCACATAATCCTGTTTTTTCACTTTAACAAGTTTACAATGTAATGCCTTCATTAGCCAGTAGGTGGATCAAGTTTATAATTGTCTTTGAAATCTATGTTCTAAAATTACAATCAGATTTTTGAAGCAATAAAATTGCATTTCTACATGATGGGCTATGAAGAGGCAAATGATGGTTTCTACCTGCTTACTCCCATACTAACTTATGCATAATAAACATGTCTTGCTAATGCTTGTTGATCTAAAAAACACTACAGTTTATATAAACAACTGACAAGGAAAATACTTTCTCTAACTAAAAAGAGAACAATAAAAGCTTTTCTTTAGCGATGCTGAAAAATGCGCCACACATTTTCAAAGTCATGACTCTGTTACTTGTACCAATTTTTTTCTTTTTTTGTGAGGCAGAAGGATAAGTTTTCTTTACCTGCGATTTGGTCTAAAAAGAACATATTCTAAAGCATGAGTGGAATTGTTGGCAGTAGAGATGAAGCTGAAGAGGAGGAAGACGAGGTCAGGCACACCAAGGATGCGGGTGAGTTGTTTATGGATAACCTGCTCTCTGTATGACATCTGCTGCTGTGTGTTTCGTCGAAATCTATACCACCCAATCACTTTCTGCAGCAAAAACAGAAGTGTTAAAAAGTTGTACGAAATCTTACAAATTTAATTCTAAATGTATCCAAACAAACGCTTGTACACAAATGTTCACAGCAGCTTTATGTCTAATAGCCCAAAACGGAAAACAGCTGATCAACAGGTGAGTGGATGAACAAGCTGTGGTACTTCCATACACTGGAATCCACACTAATAAAAAGGAAAAAAAGAGTGGTACATATAACATGCATGAATCCCGTCTGTGAATCAAAGAAGTCAGACCCAAGGGAGGGAGGAGTACATGCTAAATGATTCTATTTATCTAAAATTCTAGAATATAAAATGAATCCATAATGACACAGCACAGTTCAGTGGCTGAGGGTAGAGAAGGGTGAGGAAGTGGAATTACAAAAGGGCACAAGGCCCAGTACCACAAAAAAAAAAAAAAAAGGCACAAGGAAATTTTGGCAAGTGTGTTGTACTAAGGTGGTGGTTTCAAAAGTGACCAAAGTATACACTAAATATGTGTACTTTATCATATGCCAATTATACCCAAAGCCTATGTTAAAAGTTTAGCTTCATCAGTTCTAATCACAACTAAACTAAACTGGGTAAGTAAATTAAATGCTAGGGAGAATATGTCATAATGTCCCTTGCTGGACATGTGGAAAACACACAAGAGACATCTGGGAGCTTGCCAAAATGCATTCCTGGGCCCCACCCAAATCTGCACAATTAACCTGGAAGGTAGAACCAGGAATCCAAACTTAAGATAAGTTCTCTCTTTCTCTCTCTCTC